ATAGTTTTCCAAACCAATGTCAATTGGCATTCTCTTTTACATTTAAGTGAGAAAAAGAATCAATTAATGGTATTTGGTAAGAAAAATCTCAGACTAAATTTTACAGGCCCCTCAGCCCCTCAGCCAGCACTATATAAATAAATCAGGGCTGGGTATTTTTGCCATAGTCCTGAATCGATACTCATGTAATTTATTTTTTCCTGTCATATTAAAACAAAGTGCAAACTTGTAAATCAGACAGTTTAAACTTGGGATGTGAACAAAACTGTCTCATAAGTGCAAACTTGTTTGTGAAAAGTGAAAAAGTGAAGCCTCACTCGAGCAAGCAGTAGTGACACAGCAGACATGCATGAGCTGCATTATCTGCACAAACCATATTTGCAGTGTTGTCTGTAACAACTACAGGGTGTTTTCTGGTCAGCCTCCATTTGTTAATGTCTTCAGTCGACCTATTGGCTATATTTGCTGCTGTCTGGCTTGAAGTCATCTTGAGTGCATCTTTCCTGCTCATTTGAATGTGAACGCGTCACTATAAAACTAATCGATCTCATTCCCTAGACATCGATTTTGCAAAAATGTAAAGGAATCGATTCAAAATTGATTTTTTTTTACCCAGTCCTAATATAAATTAGAAAAAGGTTTTTATCACCAACAATCTAATTTGAGATTGGAACGACTGAACATATTCGATTCTAAATTTTGAGAATCAGAATCGAATCAGTTGTTAAACAGATACACAGAGGTCCACATTACTCGCATATTAATGTATCCTAAGTGTTTATTCCTTCTAATATTTATGATTCAAGTTGATAAAAAGCCACATTTTAGCTTCACATTGAAACTAAGTTATATGTCAAACCTATTAAAAACTATATGTCTATTTATTTACTGCTTGTGTCTTGTTGTCAATAAAGTAAATGAAATTGTTGTTTGCCTAGAAATATTACTTGTCAATCATTGCTGTAAAGAGAATCAAACAACAAATGAAGATGTGGGTGTTTTTGGTTTCAATTTGGAGCTTCTACAATAATTTTGTATCATCTCCTCTAGGAAAAAGAGAATACTGCATGTTTGCTGTAAATCCACTGATCTGAAACTTCAAAGGACAGCCTAGTACATAAAGAAATGTATGTTGCTCTGTTAAAACAAAACATTTTCAACTGCTTAATTTAATAATAAAAAAAAGAACACAATTTAAACGCATTTAATTTCATTGTTTGGAATGAAGCAATATTTGAAACAAATTAATGTTTTATACTGGTTAAATCTTTCTGAAGTTAAATGAGCATTCAGTTTAAAACAGGGTTTTTTATTTCTTTATTTTTCATGAAAGTTGTTTGTTTTCTTGTTTCCCATGTCGGTGTATCTTTAGGCATTCGGACAGGCATATTCTACCCACAGAAAGGTTGCAGCAGATGGAGAAAGCAGGGAAGAGTCGCTGATCCTGGAGTCTGCCAGTAAAGAGGCTCTGTACCAGCAGAAGGTCCTGGAGCTGCAGAATGAACTCCGACAGGCCAAAGCTTCTCTGTCAAGCGCTCAAGCAGAAAATGATCGCCTGTCCGCCATCGCTCTGGAAATGAGAGAGGTATTTCTCTTTCTTTTAATGTGAGTTTAGAATAATTTGGGAATTGGTTATATTTAGATCTTTTTTATATTCTTGAAAATTTAAACTTTAAATTTAAAGTTATTGGTGTTAATCTAAAGTTGAATGATTTTATTGATTGATTAATTGATAAGTTTTCTTTTTTAAATATTGTGATTTTCTCACAGTTTTAGATTGTCATAAAAATACAGAAAAATTGGCATATTAGGTTATTTTTTTTTTCTTCAAATATTAATGTGGGGCCGCTTAAAGATGAAAGTTGGACACAGTTTTAATGCAATCTTATAGCATTGTCTTCAGTTCTGTTACATTCACTCAAAGAAGTGGGGTTCCTCTCAGAAAATTCCTGGAGCCACGCCGGGGACTTTAGAGAAATGCCGCCCAACATCTACTAACACTAGGCTTTCTGTAGAGATCAGACATACAATTGTTCATGTTGGTGAGACAAGAATATAATTCCCAGACTTGGTGGAAAGAAGTTTTCTACCTCTTTCTGACTAGACTGACCTGTGCTGCTGTCATTATGCTGGAAGTCTGCCTAACACTGCAAACTGTACATGCAGGGAACATCTCCTCTGACCCCTCACACCCCTCTAATGATAGACAGCAGAATAGTGAGATTGACAGCAAACCGGCCAGGAATGTGTTGGGGAATGTTTATTTATTAAATGGGGAGAGACCACCTCTCTGTAAAAACATAGATTAATCTTTCTTTGTAAATTTATTCAAAGGCATAATGGCGTTTGAAAGGCTTTGGCCCTCAGAGAAGCCAAAAAGATTGAAGGAAGTAATGCCTTTGGCTTTATTTAGCTTCCTGGATTCTGCCTGTCATGTCTATATTCATATGGGTATTTTCAGTTGTTATTGTTAAACAGTAATGTTTCCACTAAGGTAATAGGTGCCTGGAAAGGTCAATTCCAGATTTGTTAAGAAAGAAAAAACCAAGCAGTGTTCCACAGTTGGTGACACAGAGTTAAGTCTTCAAGGTGCTGATCATGATTTGACTCAGGATAAGTTCATAGTTGATGATGGAAAGTTGCACTAATGGGTCAGAAATGTTACAGCACTCAATCCATTGTGTGCCTGCAGTAACCTTCAGCCATTCCTGTTTCGTCCTTTTTCTCTTTGCAGAATTCAGAGGTAGCAGAGCTGCAGCGGGCTCAGCTTCGCGATGACATCAGAGAGTATAAGATTCGGGAGGCCCGACTGCTGCAGGACTACACTGAACTGGAGGAGGAGAACATCTCTCTGCAGAAACAAGTGTCCGTGCTGCGACAGAGCCAGGTGAGGCGGGTGAACAAAGGCCCTAAAAGGTACAATGAACATTTTGTTTATGTATGAAAACGTGGTTCTGTTTCAGCCTCACATAGGGGGTGCTGTGGTAATAAATTACACTGAGCTAAAATTAATCTTATATCAGATTTTTTTTTAAATGATACGTATCCATGCTATAGGGTCTTAAATAAGTTAATAATTACTTTACATAATCTCACAATGACTTTCAGTATTGATTGTTTTGAGCAGATGTAGCACATCAATTGGTACCTCTGACAATTGTGCCAGAGAAAAAAAGAAACGCCTTTCTGCCATGCTATCACAATCCCCAGACCTATGTCCTCTGGAGCAGGCATCACCAACCTTGGTCCTCGAGGCCAGCTGTCCTGCAGGTTTTAGAGGTTTCCCTGCTTTAGCACAGCTGATTATAATGATTGCATTAGACCAAAAGCCTGTTAATCAGCTTTCAATTAAAATCAGCTGTGCTGGAGCAAGGAAACCTCTAAAACCTGCAGGACAGCGGGACTCGAGGACCGAGGCTGGGGATGCCTGCTCTGGAGAACCTGTGAGAAGAAGAAGAGTATAAAGCCTTAAGGGGAAAAGTCTAGAGATCTGGTCTCAAATTCAAGTGGTCCTAGGCTTTTTACCTTACCTTACCTGATTCAAGTGGCTAAACTTTTCTCGCTTGCATGCAATTAAGGCTCTACAGAGTGTTTTGTAAAAGGCTAATGTTGGATTGTTGAAGCAGAGGCTTATCTAAAAGTAGTTGAACAATGGCTTTCAAAGTTAGAAACCTCTGATCTAGTGTAATTCAGTAAATATCCTCTCCGTGTGCACCAGGCTGTTTCATCTAAAGATTAAGCCAATTTTATCAGCAAATATTCCTTTATATTGCATTCTTTCCCCCCACACACTGAATAAATGTATAGAGATGGTAAAGGTTGTATTTTCTAAAGACTTCAAAGTAAATTTATACTGCTGCAGTAAAAAACGTGATTGAACAATAATGTTAAATATTTGCCTGAATCTACAGAGCACCTAAGCTTAGCTCTGTACTTAGCTTAAAAAACCCAGATAATAGTGACTCTCTGCCATTTAGATATAACAGGTTGAAACGCAGAGAAGTTGGAGTAGTTATCTAAAACTATGTAATGCTTGCTTTAATTTTTTCGCATTTTCCCTTGGCCCATTAGCATAATTTCATTAAGATCATCTCAGCTAAATATCCCTTTTATACTTTAACATGTCTACAGGTGGAGTTTGAAGGTCTAAAGCATGAGATCCGTCGCCTAGAGGAGGATTCCCAGTGTGTCCAAAGCCAGCTGGAGGAAGCCGTGCGTCTGAGAGAAATTGCTGAGCGACAGCTCACAGAGGCTTTAGAAACTATTAAAACAGAACGTGAGCAGAAGGCCACGCTGCGTAAGGAGCTCTCCCACTACATGACCATTGGGGGGTCTGTGTACAGCAGCTCGCTCAACATCTCCATCGATAACGCGAAACTCCACGACGACCCCTCTGCCGTCCATGAACCTGATAATGACGACCTTATCAGAGGCTTCGAGAATGGCCTGGTCAAGATGGGTGACAGCGATGAAGATAACAGAACGTTGGGCAACAAGAGAGGCGAGGCCTTTAAACCAGCACCTAGCTTGGTGGATGATCTGCTCAGCGAGCTCAACATCTCTGAGATACAGAAGCTCAAACAACAGCTTGCTCAGGTGGGAGACACTACGCTTTGGCTAATTCAATAAATAAATAAAAAATAAGTTGTCAAAAGAGGAACTACTCCTTTATTAGATAATTGGATTTTGAGTTGCTGCAGGCTGGATTAGTGCCTAGAACAAAAGGCCTTATTGTTGTGAATAAAAACTAGGGATGCACTCACCTCTGGTTTTTGTGAAGCTTTGATCTAGTGAGTCGCAATAAACTGTTGCAATAGATTGAGAAACTGAAAATCTAAAATAAAGAAAAACATGGTCTAGATTGGCGTTAATATGCAGCAAGATGGGCGATACATGAGGCATCATGGGCTGTTTGTGGAGTCACTGCTGTTTAAGGTGGAAGAGAATTGCAAACAGTCACTGTTGTTTCCCGACTAAGCCGCTGATTTTTGCCCACCTGTGAACCATGTGGCTTATAAGAGGATGCGGCTTTTCTGTGAATTTTTTGCTATACCATAGCTCAGACATTGTCCTTTACATGATTTATACATAGATAAAGAGCTTACATACAGTAACTCTTCGCTATTGTGGTGGATTTTACTCTGTGATTAAGTATTATTGTATATTTGTTTTGTAAAAAGAGTAATCCAGTCAGTTTAAAATGTTCATTTTTTGTTGTGTGTTAGGTTGAGCGCGAGAAAGTGGCCCTGATGAATACTTTGCAGGAGAACCAGAAGCAGCTGGAGCAGGCCTACGGCACAGTGTCTGAGCAGAAGGAAACCGTCAACAAGCTGACTGAAAATCTAAGCGCCATGCGTAAACTCCAGGCCAGTAAGGAGCGCCACTCCGCCCTCAACAGCGAGAAAGAAAGGGACAGTCACGATGACGGAGATTATTATGAACTTGACATCAACGGGCCCGAGATTCTGCAGTGTAAGTACACTGTGGCTGTTTCTGAAGCAGGAGAGCTCAGGCAGGAACTGAAAACACTGAGGGCGCAGTACGAGGAATGTCGGACCAGGTATGAGGAAGAGCGAGCCCGATTGGAGAGCGATGTCCAAGATTTCAGGTCCAAGTTGTTCTCTTTGGAGAAGATTAGTCAAGCTGATAAAGCGGAGGTGGCCCGTCTGGAGAGGGAGCTCCGTCTGGCTACGGAGGCTGCAGGAGAATCCCTCGGCTGCCTAAATGTTGCTCAGGATGAGCTCATAGCTTTCAGCGAAGAGTTGGCCAATCTCTACAACCATGTGTGCATGTGCAACAATGAGACTCCCAACAGAGTCATGCTCGACTACTACAAAGACGGCAAAGCCAGGGGACAGGAAGGAAAGGAACAGCAGACCGTACTTCTCACCAGTGGGCTGATCAATGAGAACCAAAATGGAAGGTCTGATTCCTGCCACGTTGCAGTTACTGCACCTGCAGCTCCACAACATCGCCCAGAACCCATGAACGTCTATAACCTGGTAGCTATCATCAGGGATCAAATCCGCCACCTGCAGCAGGCTGTGGACCGGACCACAGAGCTGTCCCGCCAGAGGCTGGCCAACCTGGAGCTGAGTGCCGTGGCAGACAAAGACAAAGAGGCCTGCATGGAGGAGATTCTCAAACTGAAGTCACTTCTCAGCACCAAAAGGGAACAAATTGCTACCCTCAGAGCTGTGCTCAAGGCCAACAAACAGGTCAGAGGAGAATTCTTCACTTTCTATTCATTTTATCTGCATCTTTTGTCATGATTTGCATGAAAGAAAATATCAAATTCATCTCTTTAGACAGCAGAGGTTGCTCTGGCCAACCTCAAAAGTAAATATGACAGCGAGAAGGCCATGGTGACCGAGACGATGATGAAGCTTCGAAATGAACTCAAGGCTCTTAAAGAAGATGCAGCCACTTTCTCCTCTCTTCGAGCCATGTTTGCTACGAGGTAAAATGTGTTTTTACTTGTATTTGCATAACTCCACCTTCTTTCATTCTGATCAGCATTAAAAAAAACTATGCAATCAGAGGCACAGGAAAATGTGAAAACCAACAGTGGATTCTGGTCATGCAGAACCATACAGGTACACTTCAATAAATACCTAAATTATTCAAAAGTGAATTAGTTAATATTTCAGATGTATCTGTTAATATTGATTATTTCAGGTCTAAGGTGAATAAACCAGATCATGATCTGGGAAAATTAGAAAATTAGAGCAGATTAATAAAATAAAGGCTCAGTTCTTGCCTGCCTATTGTGAGATAGACTGATCACATATCTAGCAGTCAGATGCCCCGTCCTTTATGAGGATGATTCACCATAAAAATACTTTGATGAAAGAATGTCTGTTTCCAGGGCTCTGTTCATGCACCTTCATGTAAAGTTGAAGGAAAAACTGGTAGAAAAAAAAAACTAAATTTGAGATATACGTAACCCTGAGAGGATTGTGCAGCAATGCAGAACATGGGCTAAAATTGTGGCATCCCTTATCTGAATACTTTCCTTATGAAGAGACGAAGCCAAACACACCCTATATGAGCTGAGGAGAAAAGAAAACCAGAGAAAAAGAACAAGACTAATGCTTGGTCCCAAGCTCTTTTGCAGATAAAGGTATTTTATTTGGAGAGAGGCAGATTAGTCAGTCTGTGTTATTTTTTTTAAGCTCCACCTTAATGGTTTATTGTTAAGAAACCATTCAGATATATCTGCAGCTTAAAAATATATAAGGTGCAGCTTAAAAAGATATAACACAAACTAGCTAAAAAGCCCCACCACCATTAAAGTCATAAGATTTGTGACACACTTGTATGTCTATTATCAGCATTTTAATCTTAAAATTAAGATAAGTCAACCTTAAAAGTAAAGAGAAGTTATTTGTTCTTAGACAGTGCTAATGATGCCAGGTCATTGTCAAAACATTTTGCTGCCTCTGATTTGCTGATGAATTTGAACAGCTTGTCGTTTTAAATATTTTGTTCTACTGTCTATTAAAAAAAAATCACAAAGCATTGTGGGAACAGTCTGATGTAATACTGACTCAGCTTCCAGGAAATTCATCCTTCCATCTGGAAAAGTTGTGTTGGGAATAGAATGCCAGCTGGGGAGCACATTGCTCCACCTACTGGCTGAAATGTTTATCCTTACCACCTTCCTTTTTGTCCCCCTCTCCTTTGGTGTCCTCCTCCTCTTGCTTTTTTTTCCCCCTCCCAGATGCGATGAGTATGTGACCCAGCTAGATGATATGCAGAGGCAGCTGGCTGCAGCGGAGGATGAGAAGAAGACGCTGAACTCCCTGTTACGAATGGCTATTCAGCAGAAACTGGCTTTAACTCAGCGCCTCGAGGATTTAGAGTTCGACCATGAGCAGGCGCGCCGCAGCACCACCACAGCAGCAGGAGGAAAGGGTAAAACTAAGGGCAAGGGAGCCTCTTCCAGCCACCATGTAAGTCAGATGATGCACTGCAGAACTAATCATAAAATCACACAGCAAAGGAGTTGCTGTTTGCATTTCTGGAGCTTAAGATCTAAGTTCTTTAGTTTTGCCTGCCTAACACTGGGTTCTCGAGTCTTCTGTCGTTATTAGTCATCTTTTGAGTCCATTATTAGGATATACATAACATTATACTCTAATTTTATTGGGAGAACATTAAGCATACATTTAGTAGGTGGGGAAAGACAACAGTTGTTTTAAATTGACACGTGTAAAGTTAATTGAAATATATTCTAATATGCCAATTACCATTAACTCTATATATTGTCCTAAATTAATTTCAGATTTTTGTGTAAAAAAAAAAAAAAAGAAATACTGTAGCAGTCTGTTAAAGGCCTAAACGATCAAATAAAGAGGCAATTTAGAGACAATGGCACACTAAAATGATTGTAAGCAGGCAGACAATTGGGAAAAAATCTACAATAACTAATATCTACAATAATATATGTAACAATTTTAGGTCTACTTCTTGAACTGTTTTTAGCAGCTGACATTATTAGCATGTAGAGTAGATGACCTTAAATGGGAGATGTGCTAAAGTCTTTGGTGTTTCCTTAATGAACATGTTTTGAGGCCAAATTTGGCTCCTTAAGAGTATAAAACAGGATATTTCTGTAGCTCAGTAATGTTGCATTCAGACTGAAATGCTGATTAGCCTCAGTATGAATAGCTTTCCTCTCCAGATACTTCTTTGACTTTACTGACCGGGTGTCTTCTTCGCCCAGTAACAACTTCCACTCCAGAAAGTGTCAATAAGATAGCTCTATTATGATAATTGACTGATTTTTGTGTTGAATTTCTGTTTTTTTTAGGCAAAGCAGCAACAATTTAAGTGGCCCAGGGTTATTTTAGCTCAGGTTCTAATTTAATTTTAGGTAAAGTCGTCAGAGGCTATGTTCACACTGCCGGCCTTAATGCTTATTTCAGATTATTTTTTGTTTTTTTGTTTTGTTAAATCCGATTCTATTGCGTAGTTGTCCACATTTCCTAATATATGCTACTGGTATGTGATCTCCTGTGTGAACTGCATTTATACAGCTTAGCTGCCCCGTATAAGCAGTAGAGGATACAATGATGTTACAAGCGAGCATGCTCTGTGTTTATGGAAGTAAACATGGATGGTAATGCTGGAGCGCATCTTGCGATCTTTCATGTCTTTCCCAACCTCAGCCAGTGCAATAAAAATACAATCTTTTCAAGATGGATGAAATTAAAGCCTGCTCTCCGCATTTTCGTCTGCCATGGTTATTTTTCCTTCTGCTTCTGCATAGAAAAACACAGAATAGCGACCTTTATTTAGTATTAATGACTTTCAGGTCGGATGAATGTGACCTGGCCGTTCACACACAGGTCGCATTTAAAAATTTCAGATACGCATCGGATTCAGGACCACATAGCCACATCGTTGCCTGGGTCGCAAAAAGTTGGATCTGTGTTCGGACTGTCATGAAAAGATCCAATACAGGTCGCATATGGGCAAAAAAATCAGATTTGGGTCACTTCAGGCTGCTGTGTGAACCTAACCAGGGTTATTTAAGCAGAATTAGATTGTCATCCCAATTTATTCAGACCAGATA